GGTGTGAGGATCCTCCCCTGAGGAGGAAGGAGCGGCAGAGACAGCGTGTGATGGACTGCCCACAGCCCTCATTCCCTGTCCCCGTGCTGCTGGTGGGGAGGAGGGAGAAAAACTGGGAGCAAAGCTGAGCCCAGGAAGAAGGGAGGGGTGAAGGAAAGGTGTTTTTAAGATTTAGTTTTGTCTCTCACTATCTTGCTCTGATTTGATTGGTAACAAATCAAATTGATTTTTCCCCCTCAAGCCGAGGTTGGTTTGCCCGTGCCCATAACAGGTGAGTGGTCCCTCCCTGGCCTTGTCTTGACTCACCAGCCTTTCCCGATATTCTCTTGTCCCCATCCCACTGGGGGGGCAGTGAAGAAGCAGCTGCATGGGGCTTGGTTGCCAGCTGGGCTGGAACCACAACACGATGTGGGCAAAGTCACTTTCGATACGCCATGTTACCAGTTTAACGACCCCAAAGAGAGGTAAATTCCTCCCAAGAAGGCTCGTTACAAGTTGTGTTATGAACGAGAAAACTTCAGCATGACACTGAAATGAAGGCAGGGCTAAAGCAAAAGTGAGACACATACTCCAAGTAGGTACTCTTGGTAGAGTACCAAGAGTACTCTATCAAGTACTATCTTAGTAGGTAGGAGTGAACACTAATGAAGTTTTCCTGAAACTTACTTACTGTTTAGTCAACAGAAACCGTAGAATAACATTTAACAGCACGAAGATGTTTTCACAAAGGTGTTTCTCCTGGCTAATCTACTCCCAGACGCTCAGTTCAGTTTGATTCATCTAAATACGCCAAGTGCCCTTGACCCAAAGGGTCGCCAACTCAATACATACCCTTTATGAACATACGTAGTGGCGTTGTCTGGCTCAAGGTCGATGCATTTATCGTACATTTCATCAGCCTTGCCAAACTGCTGCTGGTCAGTCAGCGCCTGCACGGAAGGAGAAACCCCTGTGTCAGTGCGCAGCCAGAGCATGCGCGCCGCGCTAGGCTAATTCTGACCAAACCCACGCTGACCGTGTGGGGCTGGACATGGCGCTCTCACCGTACAGTGGGCCGGGCACATCACTCACCAGAGTTCAGTTTCAAAACTGAGGCATTTGAGAAGAAAGCCGCTAGGCTTTATGTGCACAAAGTACTGACCACAGTACCATCTGTAATGGGAGACCCACAGGGAACAGAGAATCATAGTATCTTTTAAGTTGGAAAAGACCTTTAAGATCACCAAGTCCAACTTTTAACCTAACACCACCCCTAAGCCATGTCCCTAAGCCCCTCCTCCACATCTCAAACACCTCCAGGGATGGGGACTCAACCACTTCCCTGGGCAGCCCCTTCCAGTGCCCAATAACCCTTACAGTAAAGAAATTTTTCCTAATACC